TTTTTTTTTGAAGAAAACAAATATGTACAAACAAAAAATTACCACGTCATTTATGGTGAGCGAAGTCTCCGCAATATTGGTCGAAAGTATAATTTTTCGGATACCATATGGCATTTTATCGAATATGCGCATTTGTTCATCGCTATTAATATCAATTACACCACTGTGTAAGACAAAAAGTTTAAAATTGTTTAATTTCAAGCAAGATTCAATTTTTTCCTTTTGTACAATGATGTCGTCATATCCAGGTAAAAATACCAATATACTACCATCAAGTGGTTGGTCCATGTGAATATGATGAATGACATGGTATAACAACTCATGATCAATTTGATTACGTCGGCCAAACGTCATATAATATGCGTGCTGAAGTAATTGTGGCGTTTGTGGCCATTCTCCAGCTGGTGTGGCTGGTGTACTCTGCACAATTTCTAAAAAATACATAAATCAATTCGCTATTATAGCGCTAATTATAAGGTTTGTTGTCGTTGTTACACTTACCATCATCAATAACATTTGGTACGGGAACATTGATCATGTAGGAAGCCATTTCTTTGGTTTTGTATCCGGTCTTGATGAGAACTTCACCGAGGTGCATGGTTTCAATTTGACGTTGCCAGGAACATTAATCACTGGACAATTGCCAAAGTATTGACAAAATATGTCCGAGTCAAGAGTGGCAGACATTAAGATGACTTTCATGTGTGGATTTGATTTGAGAACATCACGAATAAAAATCATCAAGAAATCGGTTACTTTTTCCCTTTCATGAACCTCGTCCAATATCAAGTGTGTGATACTTTTGAACACAAGTTTCTTCGATCCGATTAAATATCGCAATAAATATCCACTGAAAAAAGTTAAATTGTTAGAATTTCTATCAAATTTGCTACTAGTTTAACTATACAACTTGAATTCAATCACCTTGTCGTATAGATCAAATTGGTAATCGGAGAAATACAACTTTCCATACGAATTTGGTATCCGATTGAGTGTCCAATATCTTCTCCTCGTTCTAGCGCAACTCTTTTTGCGATTGAAGTAGCGGCTAATCGACGAGGTTGTGTACAATATATTCGACAATTTTGTTGGCGCAATAAAGAATCCTCCATGATATACTGAGGTATTTGAGTGGTTTTGCCCGAACCTATTGAGATCCATACGAAAATCAAAAAAAAAATCTCAATAAAAAAATGAAAATGGCAGACATTCTAACCTGTTTGACTTGATATAACGACCACTTGATTTCGATTGATAGTGTCGATAATTTGATGACGGGATTTGAAAATCGGTAAATTCTCTCTTGTCTGTTGATGCCTTTCGTCATTATTTTTAGGTGGGATCGGTGGAATGGCGCTTAATATGTTCTTTTGGAAATTGAAATCAACTTTGATTTTCGCATTAACTGCGGTTTGATCGGTTTGATTCAAAACATTTTCAAACGCAATAGACTGATTAGACGTCAACATTTCGACTAAATCCAATAAATCTCGACCAGGATTTAAGGCTTCGGCGTCTTCGGTGTTTTCAGCAAATTGTAACGCTTCATTAGCGAGGGATATTATGAGTGTAGATGCGCCCGTGTCTTTTCCGATCATTCTTGCACATCGATTCAATTTTGTTGCATATTTGAACGATATCGTTGCAATCTTTGCAAAAGTAAGGCTGATTTAGTCGGTTTAATACACAAAAAAAAAACATGAACGATTAAAACCAATAAAATTCAATAAAATGCTTTGTAACAATCACACATAATAATAATACTTACCATTATTTTTTTCCGTCGCAACATTAAACTACAAACAGTAAAACAATTTTGACATTTCGCTCTATTCACTTGTACGCTATATATGTTGGAGATTTTCCAATACGTAATACGTACATTGTAGAGATATCAATGTAATCACACTATTCTATACACAATTCATATGATATATTATGTTTTAATTCTAAATTAAATTTTATTTATCTATATAAAAAAATTCTATATTTTTATTATATTATTTAGGTTTTTTTAAATTATGAAAAATCAAGTAAAGTGTTTACAAACAATTTTTTAAGAAACGCAATTCGATGTGCGATTATTTCGTAACTTGAAAAGTTCTATTACTTGGATTTCGTGTATAGAGATGGCGAAAGTGGTAGAGCTTTTGTCAAAAAGTCAAATGTAAGTAGGAGTTGCTGAGAAGCCAGTAAGAGTGCTCTCTAAGAACTCAAAACATTCGAGAGATTGAAAAAATATTGAAAATTGTCGATTTGGCAGAGGGGCATTTGATTTGAAATCATAGTTCGAAAGGAGGTATTTATATGACGGCTCAGCCAATTCTACGTACTAGAAGTCAAGATTGAAAGTTATGCAAATGAGTGGAGACACTGAGAAGCCAGTAAGAGTGCTCTCTAAGAACTCAAAACATTCGAGAGATTGAAAAAATATTGAAAATTGTCGATTTGGCAGAGGGGCATGTGATTTGAAATCATAGTTCGAAAGGAGGTATTTATAT